GCAGTGGCTGTAGCCAGATCAGCCTTGGTGAGTGGGAGTCTATGTTGCCGAGCCCATGCATAACCTCCATCCCTGCCACCATGGCCGCTCTGTTCCTGAGCCCATCGGGCAATGACAGGGGCAGCTGAAGAAGGAGGTTGGCCACTATCCACAGACCGGGTCATCTTATCTACTCGATTATTAAAGTCCTCTTCTGCCGATGTCACCTTTTGGTGAGCATTTACATGGGAAACAAATATTTTTACATCCTCTGCCCACATGGAGAGGTCTATCCACATACCTCTTCCCCAGATATCTTTGTCACCAATTTTCCAGTTATGTTCTTTCCATGTGCCTGACGATCCAGCCAGACCATTCGCTACGGCCCATGAGTCAGTATATAGTCACACATCTGGCCATTTCTTCTGCCAAGCAAAATGTACTACCAAGTGCACTGCCCGAAGTTCTGCCCACTGTGAAGATTTCCCTTTACCGCTGTCCTTCAGAGATGTCCCAGAAAGGAGCTGCAATGCTGCAGCTGTCCACTTGCCGGTGGTGCCTGCATAGCATGCAGAGCCATCCGTAAACCAAGCCCTAGTCTTCTCGTCCTCTGACAGCTGATCATACGGCACACCCCACAAGGCCATAGGTGCATGCTGGGAAACAGAAGGCAGTACAGTAGGCATAGGAGCCGTAGGCATCCGGGCAGCTTCCTCATGCAATTTACTGGTCCCTCTGGACCTTCTCTGGCTCGATCATGAATATACCACTTCCATTTATTGATAGACTGTTGCTGTGCACGTCTAACCTTATGACTCGGTGGATCAGATAATACCCAGGCCATGATAGGCAGCTCAGGTCTCATGGTGATCTGGTGTCCCATGGTCAAGTGTTCAGTTTCCACTAAGGCCCAGTAGCAGGCCAAGAGCTGTTTTTCAAAGGGAGAGTAGTTGTCTGCAGATGACGGCAGAGCCTTGCTCCAAAATCCTAAAGGCCTCCGCTGCAGTTCACCTATGGGGGCCTGCCAGAGACTCCAAAAAGCACCTCTTCCTGCCACTGACACTTTCCTAAGTGAGGAATGTGTTGCCTCCAAAACCCAAAAAGCCCCACTAGGCGCTGTGCCTCTTTTTTGGTTGTAGGGGAAGCCAGATGCAACAACTTATCTTTTGCCTTAGAGGGGATATCTCTACATGCTCCACACCACTGGACTCCTACAAACTTCACCGAAGTAGAAGGACCTTGAATTTTTGTTGGATTTATTTCCCATCCCCTGGCTCTCAAATGCTGTACTAACAAATCCAGAATAGCTGCTACTTCCTGCTCACTAGGCCCAATCAGCGTAACATCATCAATGTAATGGACCAATGTGGTATCTCGGAGAGAAAAATGATCAAGATCCCTACGAACTAAGTTGTGACACAGGGCTGGTGAGTTAATACACCCCTGAGGTAAGACAGTGAAGGTGTATTGCTGGCCTTGCCAGCTGAAAGCAAACTGTTTCTGATGGTCCTTATGGATAGGTATGGAGAAGAAGGCATTTGCCAAGTCAATAGCTGCATACCAAGGACCAGGAGATGTGTTAATTAGCTCAAGCAAGGAAACCACATCTGGTACTGCAGCTGCAATTGGAGTCACCACTTGATTCAGTTTACGGTAATCCACTGTCATTCTCCAAGACCCATCCATCTTTTGTACAGGCCAAATGGGAGAATTAAAAGGGGATGTGGTGGGGACCACCACCCCTGCATCCTTCAACTCCTTGATAGTGGCATTAATCTCTGAAATCCCTTCAGGAATGCGATACTGCTCTTGGTTTACTATTTTACCGTCAAAGGTAACTCTAAAGGCTTCCATTTGGCCTTCCCAACTGTAATAGCCCTCACACTGCAGGTCAGAGAACCAATGTGAGGATTCTGCCAAGTACTAAGCAAGTCTATCCCAATTACGCATTCTGGAACAGGGGAAATAACTATTCCTGGAACATTCTGGAACAGGGGAAATAACCTAATAGGTCCTCTAGGATTCGAGGACCTATTGGACCCACTGTGAGTCGGACCTTTGCTAAATCTCTATTAATCACCTGACCTCCATAGGCCCCCACTTGTACTGGAGGGCCACAGTGACGTGGAAATTGTCCTGGGGAGGAGGTGACCCAGGAGAGTATCTTATTCATTAAAACCAAAGCAGGTGACTTTAAACAAGAATTTAGGTTACATAAATGAACTACCAAGGATCAGAGGCCCAACCCCCTGCCTGGGTGTTAAGTAAGTACGGCAGTTCTTAGAACAGAGCTGGGATTGGGGGCCGGGATGGGGGAGATGGGGTGTGAGGCCCTGAAATGACTTAAAATTTAGTTTCTACCCTGGCAGAATGGAGATCAGTGACTCTGACGGCTACCGCAAGCACTTGCTGGAGGTCTCTTTGGGGCTGCCTTTAGACTGCTTGAGTTGTTTAGCCCTGTCTCAGCAGGACTTGAAACCCAAAGATCTGACCTCAGTCTATCTGTAGCTGTCTCTCTTGGACAGATGATGCCTCAAGAGGAGCTGTGAGTGTCAGCCTGAGCATCTGTCCTCAGTCTGTGCAGGCATGCAAACTCTCTCTCGGCCCTAATTTTCCCATCTCTGTAGTGGGGATAAGGTTGTGTCTTAGTTACTTTCTTGTTGCTGAGACCTGATAGCTGACACCCACAACTTAAAGGAAGAAAGATTTATTTTGTCTCACAGTTTGTAGAAGTTTCATTCATTTAGACTCCAAGGCAGATGGACATGGCAAAGGAGAAACAGCTCATTTCATGGCGGGAGGAAGCAGAGAGAGATCAAGGGAAGAGGGAGGAAGGTGGACCCCTCCATGACACACCTCCAGTGACCCACCTCCTCTGACCAGGCTTCACCTCCCAGCGTCACATCTAGCTATACATCTATCAGTGGACTAAACACGGATGAGTATCACAACCCGTGAATGAGTCACCTCCCCAAAGTTGCACCGATGGTCACAGGAGGCCTTTGGAGACTTCTAGATATGCACTGTAACACATTGTATGGAGCGTATGCTGTGAATAGAAATGCTTAGCACCAAACCTGGCCCAAAAGGCTCTCAGGAAATATTATCCTTTTTCCTTTCACTCTTCACACCTCTGGCCCCCACCTTACACACTAAAGGATCAGGAGAACGTTGTCTTTGTCCCCTCGTGGAACTGTTTGTAAGCAAAGTCCCCACTGTCACACCGTGACTGTGTGCCTTTGACAGTCTGTCTGCTGCCCACTGGGGAACTGGCCACAGTCCACATATAATTTGGCTGCCTTCCTTCCACACCTTAGTCCAGGGCTGGGTTGTCCATTAGCTCAGGAAAGACACATTCATTTAGGCCAAACTGAATTAGCCAGGGCAGTCGGCAGCCAGGAAATCATGTGCTACATTCCCAAACCAAACAGAAATTAGTTTTAGATATTCCCTGTTCGGTATTATCTGTGCCACAGCTCCTGCTAGGGCACATCAGAGAAAATTGGCTGTAACCAATTAATGGGTATTTAGCAAGTCTGTTGCCAGGACAGGACCTCTGTGTTCTCATTTGTGAGGAGTGCTTAGATCCCGCTAGGGGCTGTCAACGGTGGCAGCGCGTTGGAATCACTTGGGAGCGCTAAAATCTCCCGGCCAAGCACATCAGAAGCTGTAGGCAGCCCCAAGCACCCGCGCTGTTTCCAGCTCCCCTGGCTGCAGTGTGTAGCCCAGTGAGAGACAGTCCTACAGCTTCCTTCCGTCTCTAATTCCAGGGACAGCGACCTGGGAGGAGATACAACCTACTTATTTAATTCATTAAAATGGGAATTGTGGCAGTGAACACTCCAGCCACTTTATAACTATAAAATTTTTAATTTTCCTGCTCTCAGTCGTGCTCCTCGTTAGCATCCTGGTCATTGTGTTGAGACTTATAATTAATACATTTTTCCTGTATAAATGTTAACTTCATTAGTGTCTCATCTCCCTTCTTTTCACTTCTGAGCTGTGTACATTTGGTACTGAAGAATATTTATTTTTTTTAAATTTATTTGTTGTTTATTATTATTGGTTTGTTTTTTCTTTTTTTTTTTTTAATGTATGCGGTGCTGGGGATCGAACCCAGGGCCTTGTGCATGCAAGGCAAGAGCTCTACCACTGAGCCGCGTCCCCAGCCCTTGAAGAATATTTAGATGAATTTTACATATGTGTCCACATAACCACTACCCAGATCAAGATATATTTCCATCAACCCAAAGACTCCCTTCTAAACCTGCCCCAGTGAGCCCTTCCATCCTCCTTTGACTTCTTTTACCGGTGCTAAAAAGCCATGTCCTTCTGTAAGAGTCTAACTTAGCTGCATTCCTGTCCCCTCATTCCTTGTCTAGGAATCATCTCATTTTCTTCGTCGTCCTGCCATCGGGGGAGAAATCAACTTTAGACATGGTTCAGTAATGGATTTATGCATCACATACCATCCCAAAACATAATGGCTAAACACAAGGCATTGTCATGTCTTGCATTTTTGGGACTGAGAGGGCTTTGTGGACTCTTTTGCTTATCCTGCTTGACTCTTGGGCTGCTGTCAGTTGGCAGCCAAAGAGGGGTCCCTGTAGTATTTAGCTTTCCGTGGGCTATGATAAAACACTCGAGAGAAACCAACTTGAAAAAGGAAAGATTTATTTTGACTCATGGTTTTAGAGTTTTCAGTTCACAGTCACCTGGCTCTTGCTTCTGGTCTGAAATGAAGCAGAACATCACCGCCGGAAGGAGGCAGAAGGAGAGAGGAAGGGGCTGGGTTCCAGTGTGCCTTCAAGGGCGTGCCCCGATGACGTACTTCCGGCAGTAGGCTCCACTTCCTAAAGTTTCCTTGGGACTAAACTTCCACCACGGTAACCTCTGGGGGCCGTTCCAGATCAATACGATTAAAACCTTCCTCTACAAGACAGCGCTGGGCCGGAAGGTCTGAGTTGATTTCTTCACTCTAAGAAAGTAAAAATAAACTCATAAAAAAAAAAAAAATTGCCCAGGCATCCATCAGGCTCGAAAGAGACCTGATAGCGCTAGACCAAGTTAACAGGAGAGCATTTTTCATCCAAGGACACATTGCATTTGTGTGTGGCCAACAAGTTTCTTTCTTATTCCCTGGGAAATTGTTTTCTAAGATTACAGAGTATCGGAATCTTTTATTAGTAAGCATGGCACCCTGTTTTGCCTGGAGGAGCCAAGTCACTGACATGGACATGGGCATAGATACAGCTGTGATCTATAATTCAGATGCTGAGAGTTTCTGGACACAACTTCAGCAAACCCAAGATAACAGGGCCCTGGGGAGTCTGGACCTGATGTTGAGCTCTTTACAGGGTCTGCTTTCCTTTAAGCCTGTCAGCACCTGGATTTGGTACTAAACACCACTGAATTGTGTACTCTGAAATGGTAGTATATTTAGTATGTAAATATGTGGTCTGAGAAATATGGCATCTAGGTTTTTAAAAAGAGACATGGAAATACGTGGGATGTTGAATGTGGCTTTGAATCTGTTGGCATTTCCCAGACCAGCCAGGCTCAGAATTATCTCACTTCTGTTCCCTAGTCCTAGTGAGTCACCTTTGCTCTGATTTAGAACTAGGCTAGAATACTAAGGTTCCCTCATCCCGCCTCGTTTGCCTGCTCTGTTAGTGCCATTCTCTTCCTTTTCTTCTACTTTTTCTCCTAACTTTTTTTCTTTTTTCCTCAGACAGGGTCTTGCTGTGTTACCCAGGCTGGTCTTGAATTCATGGGCTCAAGTAAGCCTCCTGCCTCAGCCTCCCAAGTAGCTGGGACTACAGTTAAATGCCACCCTCATCCTTCCTGAAACCCCTTCTAATTTACATAACGGACGTTGTCTTCATTACTTTCCTTTTCCACACTGCGGGGACAGATATCTGCACCTGCAATTTAAAGGAGGAGAGGTGTATTTTGGCTCACATTTCAGTCCGTAGTTGGCAGGCTCCAAGGCAGGAAGGCCTGGTGGAAGGGTCTGGAGGAAGCAAGTTGCTTACCTCGTGTCATCCAGGAAACAGAAAGGCAAGGGAGGGAGACACTATATAATCTTCTGGATCATTAGTGAGCGGCCTCTCCTGACCAGACACCACCTCCTAACACCAAGTCAGCTGTGACACCCTTATACCCAGTCACGCCCCAAAGGCCACACCTGTGACTGAATGAGGCTCTTGGGGGACATCTAGATATAATCCGTAACACACACGTACTCTCCAAATGTTCACATGACAACTGACCATTTTTTAAGTTGACAGATAAAAGTGTATATAATTTTTTAGTTCTTCATGTCACTTCACAGAGTAAAGTGAAATAAAACCAGGTTCAGCTCAAAAACAAACAGAAGAACTGCTTTGTTTATATTCTACTTCACTGCCACTTTTCCCCACTGCAGGGGCACGGAGGAGCTGACTTGGTCAGACTGCAGGTCTGTTCCTGATAGTATTAAGCCAAGTGGACTAGAACAGCTCTACCTCCTCATTCTACCTGCCCAGGGCCTGTCTGCACACTTTGTCATCGGGCGAAAGGAAAAACTGCCAGCCATTTTTAAGGCTTAGGCCTGGGCCTGGTGTAGTGTCACTTCTGCTGCATTTCACTGTTACGGAGAGTGGCAGGACCAGCCCAGATCGATGAGGGAGGGGGGACATACGGGTGTGAACCTCCGGGGGCGTGGCTCACTGGGGCCATCCTTGAAGATCAGCTTCCACAGCTGTCTCCTCTCCCTGTCTGCTTTAGGTCTGTGCCTCAGGTCTGGCCAGTCTGCTAACGGCACCCAGTCTACAAGCAGGGCTTTTCCCATTTACAGTCTTCACCCTCTGGGGTGAAACTAAAGGAAGTAGCTGTAATGAGACCAGTGGAGTGGGAGAGAAAGTGCTCAGCGAAGGCTTCAGCCTTGGGTCATAGTTTTGAAAATTTCTTCCCAACAGATCTTTTAGTAGACCCTGATCCTGCTATGAAAGTGATCATGCAGTAAACACTTTGCTTTTAGTTTTTAAAAAGACTTTATTCTTTTAAGGGCAGTTCTAGGTTCACAGCAGAATTGCGAGGGAAGCACAGACGTATCCCAGACACAACCCACCCACATGCAGGCACAGCTCCCTTCACTGTCAGTAGCTTTCAGTACTGTTAAAGGCAGAACACCATTAAAAAAATAGATTCCTGGCTGGCTGGATAGAAAGAAGCCACCAACAGATACAACTTTTTAAAGCAAGAACATTCACCTTTATTCTCAATTCTTTTTTCCATTTTTTACTTCTATTATTTTTATATCTTTGTATTTTTATGTAACTTTATTATAAGGTAATCCATGTTAAATAATAATATGTAAAGACACAAAAGAGTAGTCGTCCGCCCACTGCTGTCTCCAGTTATCCAGGTCTCTCCATCCTATTTGTAGTTCTGTTTTGCATCATACAGAGACATTCTATGTGCCATGTGTACATGTATCACTTCCCTAAAAGGAATGTAATTATTGTGTATCACAAACACACACTAATAACGAAGAAGCTAAAAAGGGTATTCTGCACATATACCTACACAGACATATACATATGTAGACACTATATATGCATAGATATAAATTTCTTGCAGAATGCTGTTTGTTTTACATATTGGTTTATTGTTTCTGTTTCCTTTTTTAAATTAATTGAGGCATAATATTTGTACATGTTGGGGATATATTATGAAAAGTCGATACATGTCTTCAGTGTGTAATTAAATCCAAGTAATAACCATTTCTGTCTCTACAGCCATTAATCATTTTTATATGTGAGGCGTTTCTTACTTTTTTCCTAGCCATTTTGAAATATACGTTGTTTTAACCAGTGGTTATTCTACTATGCGAAAGAAGAACCAGAAGTAATTCCTCCACTCTGCGTTGTGGTGCCCTTACTAAAATCTCCTTCATCCCCTCCCGCCCCTGTCCTTCCTGGTCTCCAGTGACCACATTCATTTCATTCTTCTTCAAGATTGACTTTGTTTCCAAATGAATGTGAACATGTCATATTATGTTTTTCTGTGTCTGGCTTATTTCACTGAACATAACAACCTCCGATTATGTCCATGTGCTGCAAATGACAAGGTTTAAATTCTTTTTTATGACTAAGTAATATTCTATTATATGTATGTGTATGTATCTACCTATATAGATATGTGTATTTATCTATATATATCACATTTTCTTTATTCATTCATCCACTAAAGGGCATCTGAGTTTATTTCATATTTTGGCTATTTTGAATAGTACTGCAATAAATGTGGGAGTGCAAGTATCCTTTTGGTATGACTTCATCATATATATATCTGTATATCTATATATCTGTATCTATATCTATATCTCCAGTAGTGGAATTGGGCCATAAAAATTGCTACAGTGTTTTCCACAATGGCTGTACTAATTTACATTCCCAGTGAGTGTATAAGACCTCCCTTTTCTTCAAATTCCTGCCAGCAATGATTATTTTCTGACTTTTTGATGATAGTCATTCTAAGGACGGTGAGAAGTTACCTCACTGTGATTTGCTTTCTATTTCCCTAATGATTAGTGAGATTGAGCATTTTTTCACGTAGTCATTTGTATGTCTTTTGAAAAGTGTCTGTTTGGTTCTTTAGTCTATTTTTAATTGAGGTATTGGGTGTGCATATGTGGTCAGCTTTCTGAAATCCTCGTATATTCTGAGCACTGAACCGCATCGGATGATTAGTTTGCAAATATTTGTGTAGGCCGTCTCCTCATGCTGTTGTTTATCTCCTTTGCTATGATGAAGTTTCTTAGCTGGACCTAATTCCATTTGTCTGTTTTTCCTTTGGCCGCCTGTGCCTTTGGAGTCTATCTAAAACATCATTGCCTAAATCACTATCTTCAAGGGTTTCTCGTGTCTTTTCTTGTGGTAATTTTATAGTTTCAGGTTTAGCACTTAAGTCTTTTATCCATTTTGGGTTGAGTTTTGTGTACAGTGAGAGGAAAGAATCTGGTTTTATTCTTCTGCATGTGCATTTCCAATTCTGCCAGCACCTCCTTTTGAGGAAAATGTCTTTTCTCCAGTGTATGCTCTTTTTTTGTGTGTGTGTCATTTTGAGACAGGGTCTCACTCTACAGTTCAGGCCGGCCCTGAGCTCACTTTGTAGACCAGGCTGGTCTCGAACTCACAAGGATTCTCCTGCCTCAGCCTCCCGAGTGCTGGGATTAAAGGCGTGCGCCACCGCTCTTGACACCTGTGGCAAAGATCAGTTGGCTGGACAAATGAGAACTAACTTCTGGGGTTCCTATTCTGGGGTAGCCAGTACCATACTGTGTAGTTACAATGGCTTTGTGATGTTTCAAAGTCAAGTATTGTGATGCTTCTAGCATTTTTACACTTGGGGTTGCTTTGGCTATTCCAGTTCTCTTGTGGTTCCAAAAGAATTTTAAGATTGTTTTATCTGTTTCTGTGAAAAAGTCATTAGTATTTTGATGGGAATTCTATTGAATGTAAAGATCTCTTTGGGTAGTATGGTCATTTTAGCAATATTGATTCTTCACATCCATGAACATGAGATTATCTTGTGTGTGTGTGTGTGTGTGTGTGTATGCGTGTGTGTGTATGCGTGTGTGTGTGTGTATGCGTGTGTGTGTGTGTGTGTGTGTGTGTGTGTGTACTGGAATCTCTTTCCTCAGTGTTTTTATGGTTTTCACTGTATGGATCTTATATTTCCTTGGTAAACTCATTCCTAAATATTTT